GGGAAGGGAAGGGAAGGGGAGGGAAGGGGAGGGAAGGGAGGCTGCAGGGCTGTGGGCAGAGGGCTCCCATATGGATTCCTGAGGCAAGGGGGAGTAGGCATTAGGAAGAATAACCTGTTCTCAGTGGCAGGCTGCCTACAGGTCAACCCTGCTTACCCAGGATGGCAAAGTCATGGGTGTGGCTTCAACACTGCAAATTTTATTCATTGGCCTGTTGTTAAATGTCTTCATCCCTCTCCCCAGGTAGGTGGGTAAGTGTGATGGAGATCAAGAACCTTCAGGTCCAGGGCAAGATTCCAGCTCTGAGTCCTTGTCTGACTCAGGAGCTCACGGCCTCTTCAGTGCCGACTTCTCCCCAATCCCAGGGCTTTTCCCAGCGGGGCAGGGCATCTGTTTGAGACACCAGCCTTCATTCCCACACTGAGAGACTCAGGAGGCCTGCGGGAGCCAGCGAACTACTTGGCCTTGGAAATGGGAGAAACAGCAGCAAAAAGAGAAAAAGTCAAGCCCAGAGGAACACTGGAGGAGCGCCATAGGTTGACTGGGTAGTGTGGGAGGCGGAGGAAGGAGAATGGCCTTGAACATGTGTGACGCCAAGACCCTAAGCAGGGCACACAGGGCCCCACAGCCTACCTTACCTGGTCTCACACAGTGCACCCCCTGTCTCCCCAAGCACGCTCAGGCCCTAAAAATCCTAAGGAATAGGGAAGCACTGTCCCAGGCACACCAGGCGCCTGCACCCCGAGCCTCTGCAGTTGTTTCTGAAGCCCGAGGCCCCAGCCCTTCAGAATCGGGCGCCAAAGCAAGGAGCGGTTCTGACTTGCCTCCTTGCGATTCACCAGGTGCAGTGAGATTCTGCTTTCTCCATCAGAACCACATACCTGGGCCTCCGGGACCACTGTGGTTCAAGGGTAACGGGCAAGGTCAGGGGTAACTACGCTGCCATCCACCACAATTCCGTTCTCTGAATGTCTGAAGGAAGTTGCAGAAAGTGGTCTTTATATTTCACTGGCCTTGGAGTCTACAGACTGAAATGAGCCAAAATATATGAGCTTAACATAGATTCAGAGTTTTTATTACATAAACTGGGCTTTGTGGGAACAGCCCTTTGGAGACTAGAAAGAAGCTCAAGCAGTATAAGAAGCCCCATGAACTCCTTTCCTGGCTGGGGATCAATCAGCTCATACCTAATCATAGCACCTCTGCCACAGGGAACAGAGGGACGGGCGTCCTCCTATACACTGGGTCTCATGTCCACTGGGAAGAATAGCTCACTGCCTTTAGCAGACACTCCCAAGCAGGCAGCTCAACAATATAAGGACTCACACAGCCGCTCTGTTCATTTACCTGAGGGTGGATTTGCCGCTGATTGTAACAACTGACATTGAGTACTAGGTATTGTTTGTTGTAAGTGCTTTAAATTCTCACAGAAAAAAACCCCTCTGAGGTGGGACTATTATTATCCCCCATTTAATAGATGCAAAAACTGAGGCACATGCGAGATTGAGCAACTTATCCAAGGTGACACTCTCTCACTCACCCTAGCGGGCATCTGGGAGGCTCTGACATGTAGAAGCAAAACCAGACATTCCTGGGAACTTCTGAGGTGCTCCCCTTGCTTCTAGAGGTGTGCCAGGAACAACTCGTCTTCATAACTGCTGCCTAGCTGCCATTTAGTGAGGCAAGGAATGTTACTGGCCCATATTCTCCTACATCCTCAGCCTCCTTCAAGTCTTCACCTCCAAGTTGTACTCGTCCTTGTTAACATAGCCTCCTAGCATCAAAGCCCGCACCCCCCAAACTTGAGCCTGCCAGGGAGGAACTTGGGGTTTCAGAAATGCAACTCAGTACTCAGTGGCCAGCCTGAGACCAAGCCCCATTTATCCTTGACTGGGAACGTGTGACGGAAGGTGGGCAAAAAGACTACTCAAAATTGCACATAAATGAGGGGGCACCCAGATTTGAACTGGGGACCTGTTGATCTGCAGTCAAATGCTCTACCCCTGAGCTACACCCCCTCAGGTACTAATGTAACCTAATTGATACCTTTCATGTGTGTGGTAACACTCAGCTCTGCAAAATTGTTATAGCCTCTTCCTGGACTGACGTTTTAGGAGCTGCCAGACCTGTCTCAGAGTAAGACACCTTCCCTCAGCTCTGCGTATTCCCAGGACTCAGTCCCTGGACAGTGTCATCAGAGAGGGAAAAAGGAGAGACTCTGCCTGAAGGACCCCCAAGCCACTTCCCACTGACATCTTGGTTTAGCCCAAGAGCTGGCCAACCATATCCAAAGCTACCCACCTACTTAGGTTCCCAGCCCTTCACCTTTCTTCCTTCAGTGAAGACAGAAATGGATTCTAATTCAGACAATGTCAGAGAGCTCCAGTAGTTGGGGTTTGTAGGGACAACACTGCAGAATCCCTGTCTCCCTTGGTAGAGGAGCTAAGCCAGCCTTTGGGCCTGTGAGGTGGAAGCAAGTGTGTGTGTGAGCTCTGGGTGGAGGAACCACTTCCCCAGAGGGCAATGTCAACCCTACATGGAGAGCCTGGCTGCTATGATTTGTCTCAGTAGGCCTGCCCACCATGCCATGCTGCCAAACTGTTTGGGTAGGAAGGTGAGGGTGACAATATAGGGTTACCACTTACGGTCTGTTCCTGGGAAGTCTGCTGTATCTGCAACTCTCTGGCCTGCCCTGGAAAAGCCAGCGGAATTCTGCATGAGAGTCCCTGCCTTCTCTTTGAGGACTCAATAGAGTTGATGAAGTGAGATATGTACAGAAGGAAGGAGAAGCCAGATGCTAAGAGGAGGAGGGACACCTGGACTGTGAGTGCAGGAAGACAGGGGAGCAGCAACCCACCCACAGTGCAGTTGTGCAAGGGACGCCCTCTGGATTCTGATTTCAGGAAGGATCGTAAGTGGCCATGGATAAAAGGAAAGGGGAATATGAGTGACAGCTATGAATAGGAAAACTGATAGGGTAGGGGGCACCCAGATTTGAACTGGGGACCTGTTGATCTGCAGTCAAATGCTCTACCCCTGAGCTACACCCCCTTACCTGTTAGGTACATCTAATTAACTACCTTTTCACCTGGGTTGCCAACACCCACATCTATGCACTGAAATGTCTACTAATTCTTAGAAAGTTTCTGGAGATGCAAAAAAATTGCCTTACAGCAAAATTGGTTAGTACTTTTTGGCCCCAGAAACCTTTGCTCACAATCTTTGAGTCTCCTCTTTGCTTGGTATTACTTGAAAGGCACCTGTTGGGAGACTCTTTGCCAAGAGCTGGCCACCACTTCCTTCCTTCCTCTCCTGACAGGCTCCACCTGCTGTACATTTCCCCCAGCACCCTCTCCTTGCTCCTCCCCGACACCGCGGGCTGGACGGGGTCTTCGGGGCCCATGTCCTCCCCTCTGCTCTTCGTTGCTCTCACCACGGCTGCTTCTTAGCGTTTGGCAGTGTCTTTACTGAACCCAGGAAGCCCAGAGAAATTACTTTAATAATTTGACCTGAGAGGCCACAGCTGCCATCCTGGGGCCTCGGAAGCCACCCCAGCTGTCCCAAGGGACCTCAAACCAGAGGTCGGCACAACTGAAGCGGCAGGGACTGCTCCCAGGAACCCTATAGGACCAGAGATGCCTCTGCCGGACAAACTCTGGCGTGAGGCACAGCCCTGCAGACCTAGAAGTAAACCATGTCCTAGCCAACTGGCAGGAGCACAGGGAGGCACCACCAAGGACAAAAGGCCACAGTAGATCCCAAAGGGTGGAGAAAAGACACCTGCCTAAAGGGGCACATGAGGCCCACCATCCTACCAGCCCTGTCCCTCAACAGCAACCCCAGTGCAGCCACTAGATACTTGGCTGAGGACCCACAGAAGTGATGATTTTCTACCAGCTTTTTCCTCCATCCTCTTCGTGGTCCCTTTCCAGTGGCCGGATGAGCTTGGCTTCCCAGATTCCCCTGCGTCTGTGACTTTGACACCTTTCCATGCTCTAGGAAGTCTCCTTAGTGACTGTCCTCTAATCTTACAACTCCCCCTTCTGGACTGTTATGTCTCCCAGCTCGTCCTGTAAGTGTGCAAGGTCTTATTTCTACAAGAATTCCCTTATTCGGTAATACTCAGTGATAAGGCTGTTCCAAGTGAACACTGACTGGCCCATCCGCTGGGTTTATTTTATTAGCGTTTTCTTTCATGGATGAGACATACAGGAGTGCACAAATCATACAGCTTTATGAATAATACAAACTAAATACACCTGTGTAACGCCCCATCTAGATCTAGAAATAGAACATTATTTGGAGGTGGATGGAAAGGAGATATGAGGGGTGGAGTAGAGAATGGCTCTTCTCTGCATGTACACGTTTACTATATAGCCTCAACTTCTGAATCATTTTAATGTCTTACATGTCAAAAAACTAAAGCAACACCTATGAGGAAATAAACATAAAAATCAATATAAACCAAAACAAAAAACTTAGTGGTATATCATAATGATAACATGACCACAAAGCTGAAGATACCTTCAGTGGTATATATCCTCAGAAAACAAGCGATATTGAGCTACAATGAGAGATTGAACTTGACTTAGTAAGTTGTTTTGGTATAACTTACGAAACCTATTTGTGAGCAGATGAGTAAATATATTGATATTTTGGGGAACCAGGATTCTAACTGTGAGAGACAGGAGATGTAAATATGGGATGGAAGAAGGCAAGGAAGAACTGCTGAGTTGGACTGGAATTGTAAGTAGATATGCTTGCACACGCACGTGCACGCACACACACACACTCCCTAACTCTGTCTCCTGAAAGGAGCTAGAAACAGCAACTCAGTTGCAATGAGCTCTTCTAATGCCCGTATCATAGTCACTAAATACCATTAAAAGGATCTAGGAACTCGGAGAAATGGCTGGCTCCAGGGCTGGCCAGGAAACCGAAAAGATGAACAACGGAACACCCTGTGCCAGAAAGTAAGAAAGTGCCCAAAAACTGATGGGGACATGCCAAAAGAACACGGGGCCAGCCCAAAGAGACTCACTACTGGCTATCTTTGGGACAATTTGAGCATCAAAGCAAATAAAGATAGGGATGTATTATAGCTCCTTAAAGAATTCATGAATCCATATTAAGGTGTTTTGGTTTTTTAAAAAAAATTTTAGGTGGAGAAAGGAAAGCTCTTCTTTACAAAAACAGTCAACTAATAAATGTAAAAGGAATGATAAAAATATAAAATCACCATTTTATAACCATCATGTAAAAATTTATTTAGGTAAGAATCATTAATTGATGCTAAATTTGTTAGGTAAACCTTGTTGGGAAACAGGATATAGAAGAATCTGTCAAACACCACTTTAATTGAATAATCAAATTCAACTTCATCAGTAGTAGAACAAATTCACCTCATTTCCACTCGACATAATGCACTGAGAAGGACATAATATCACCTGTGTATACATTTTGCTAGAATATTGAACTTCAATCTAAATAATGAGGAAACAAAAGTAACCACTGTCCCAACTTTTAACACACCCGTTGACCTATTTTTTAATTTTATATAATCTTTCTCCCAATGTTATGACTGTGCGATCCAGCCATGCTGTTGTATGGATGTTGACTGCAGCTACAGTCTGCAAAACACTGTAACTTGTGACGCCATTTTGGGCCTATTTTTGAACTTTATATATCTTTCTCCTTTTATGATGTTTGGGATATCCAGCCATACTATCTTATGTAAGAATTGTTTGTTCGCTTTCATTGCTGGATGGTATTCTGGTGTATGAACATTTGTTATTTATTTATTGAAGCTACTGTTGAAGAGCATTTAGGTTGTTGCCAGTTTGGGACTATTAGGGAAAAGCAGTATGTAAATTCCTGTACGTGTCTCTGATGAACACACGCACACATTTCTATGAGGTATACACCTCGGAGTAGAGTTGCTGGATCATAAGTAGGCAACGGGTCTGTTTTTATAGTTAATGGTGTATAATTTGCCAAAGTGGTTGTATGTACCAATTTCATGGCCATTTGAATATCGTCTTATGTGACGTTTCGGCTCCAGTCCTTTTTCCTATTGGCTTGTCTTGTGTTTTTTTCTCATTGATTTATAGGCATTACTTTTATATTTGAATTTAAGTCCCTTATTAATTACACGAATTTCAAATATCTTCTCTTTGCCCTTTCGCTTTCTTAATGGTGTCCTTGGATAAACCAAATGCTTATTTATAATCGTCTGATTTAGCAATCTTTTTCTTTATGATTAGTGCTTTTTGTGTTCTCTATAGTAAAGCTTTATCTTTTCACCAGGTCATTCTTTTATGTTTTCTTCCGGAAACACGTTGTCTCATCTTTTACATTCAGAGCTACAGTCCACCAGGAATTGATTTTGGCGTGCAGGGTGAGTCTAGACCTTTTTCCCATATCGTTTTCCAACTAACCTAGCATCATTCATTGGAGAAACTATGCTTTCCCCCGCTGTCTGCAGCACCACGTTTGTCGTAAGTCAGGTGCCACGTATGTGTCGGTCTGTTTCTGGACTTTCTATCCTGTTCCATTGACCTGCATATTTATTCACGCACCATTACCACGTTGTCTTATAACTACAATAGTGTATCTGATAGTGCAATCCCCCCACTTTGTTCTTCTTCATGAGTGCATTGCTGTTTCTGCCCTTTTGAATGTCCATACAAATTTTAACATCAGCATGTAAATATCCACAAAAAGTTATGTGGTTGAGATTACACTGAAACCTACAGATAAAGATGGGAGAAGAACTGATATTGTTACTATAGTTAGCTTTTTATTCTATTAGTATATCACCACTTTGTATGTAGTTCTTTAATTTTTCTCAGTGATGTTTTATAGTTTCCTGTAGGGAGATATTGTACCTCTTTGATTAGTTTTATTCCTCAGTAGTTGACTTTTTTAGTTTTTGTTATAGAATTGTTTGAAATTTTTCTCATTTTAATTTCTGTCATTCCTTTCTGCATTTCCATCTGCTTTGATTTGAATTACTTTCCTTATGCCTTAAAGTTTCCCTTTGTATTTCTTTTAGTGTGGGTGTGCTAACAAATTATCTATTTTTGTTTGTCTGGAAGTGTCTTTTATTTTCATATTTGAGGAATGCTTTTTTGGGGTGCAGAATTCTAAGTTGGCACTTATTTTCTTTCAGTATTTTTAAGGTGTCATCTGTTGTCTAATGGCTTCCATTTTTTTCTGTTTAGAACTTAGTAGGTCTTATGTTCCTTTGAAAAGAGTATGTCCTTTTTATCTGGTTATTTATAATTTTTTCTTTTTTCTTTTGATTTTAAGTTATTTCACTAATGAGTTTACTTAGGCATGATGTTCTTTTGATTTATTCTAATTGGAATTTGTGATTCTTGTAGCTGTGGCTTGTCTCATTTCATTAGTTTTGAAGAATTATAGGTCATTATCCCTTTAAGTAATACTCCTGCCTCTTTCTCCTTTCCTTTTGGGGTTCCAATTACACATATGTTAGACCATTTCACCATGTCCTATATTCTCTTTCACGTTTCCTGTATTTTCCATTCCTTTGTCTCTCTGTGCATCAGTCTGGATATTTTCTTATGATTTTTTTCCAGAAAATCACTTTACTAATTCTTGCTTCTGCTGTGTCCACTTTGTTGTTAAACCCATCTATGGAGTTATTTATTTATATTATAGAATTACTGTTTGATTCTCTTTTATTGCCTCCAATTCTCTACTGAAATCATCCATCTTGTCATTTATTAATCACATGTAAACTTATCACAGTTGGTTTAAAATCCATGTCTGGCAACTTCACTCTCTGGCTCTCCTGTGAATTTCTCTCTATTATCTGTGCTGTTCTTGGTTTTCAGTCATTTTTATCTTTTGCATGCTTGGTTGTTTTTGATTAAGTGACAGACACTATATTTGAAAACTTGTAGGGATACTTTGAGGCTCTGTAAGATGATGTCTTGTTCCAGAGCTTTCCTTTCCCTCTGGCAGGCAGGCAGCGTGAGAGCTGAGAATGATGTGAGTCCAAATTGGACTTCGGTGTTTATGAATCTGGTCTAGTCCTACTAAGGTCCAAGCTGCAGGTCAGGCATGTTTATCAGGGCCTCTCTTTTTGGCGACTGTGACTCCAATATTTGTCCCCTCACGGTGACTCATTTGGACTTTTGTGCTTACCTCTTGACACCTGTCCCCCTCCTCTTAAAGAAACCATTCATAGGTCCTGAAGAGTAATCTTTCCGAATGTCTATTTAGTTTTGTACCCCCTGCTCAGAACCCATCAGTTACTCTCCAATTCCTAAGTCAGTGGTTTTGAAAGTGTGCCTTATGGAAATTCATGGGAGACTGCCAGTGGAGATGTGGAAGAGGCCGAGCTCTCCAGGAGCTTGTGAAACCGCCCCCCGCCTGTCCCCAAAGGTCACTTCCTCTTTGATCTGATTTCTCTATTGCACTTCTCAGGTTTTCACATGGAGCAAGGGGTTTATAGCTTAAATTATTTGACAGCCCTTGACTTAGATAATACAATCTAAATTATGAACATAACATAATGGACCATTTATGACCTGACCTCGGCCTTGTCTTGCACCACACGCCCCATCCCATGATCAACCATCATTGTAACCATACTGAACTTCTTGTCCTTCTCTATGCGTGGTCTCCCATTCCCCCATACTTCAGACATTCTGATTTCTGTCTGGAATGTTCCTTGCCCCATCCTGTCTGCCTAGCAAACTGTTACTGAAGTTTTGCTGATCGGTTCAAGTTGGTGCTTTGAGAAACCTTCCCTGACCCCCAGGTGAAACTTCACACACCTTCTTCCCTCTACTGAACGTTGTTTTCACATCCAGTCCCTTGTCATTGTTGGTTTGCATGCCCTTCTCACTAGGCAGTGAGCTCCTTGTGACAATACCTACCTCTTTCACCATTGTATTAACCCTGAGCAGTTTTTGTTGAACACATGAGCTTGCATGCTTGTTTTCCTAGGACCGTTACAATGTCAGATACCCTATTTTATCCAGATGAATCTGTAAAATCTTGTCCCAGATGTTTCTATAGTTGGGGTCCAAATTACATCTCCCAAACTATCTCTTAGCACCAGTAAGTGACATAAAAACCTTTGTTATATAAAACCCCCTGGGTGTTCTGTTTAGAAAATGTGGTCATCTTGATTATATCCTCTTCATGCTCATCATAGGCTGAGGACCTGGTAGGTACTCAGCATGGACATGTTGACTAATTTCTGCTGAGTGGGTTTTGTCGCTAGCTGAACTGGAAAGGACTCGGCGTCCCTATAAAATAATCCAATTTCATCTGACTAATCTTTGATGTGACCAACTTCCCCCATGAAAGCCATAGGCAGTATTGTGTTCATCACAAGGTCATCAAAAATTGATGACTCAAGGGTCAGCCTTATAAAACTTCAAAATCTCTTGTAAACATGAGTCAGAATCTGAGTAATAAGCTTGTTTCTAGTAGTAATGTCATCGCTGAGTGGGCCATGTTCTGCACAGTAAATGTTCCTGAACGTACATGGTGAGAAATCTCATTTTTATAACTAAAACACTATTTTCAAAAGCTGTGGAAACTTAGTTATGGGAAACTTAAATAACTTTAGTTATTAAATTTTTAAAAATAAACTCTGATGCTTGTTTCCTATGTCTGGCTTTTCCCACATTTGGAGTTTGCTTGAAGTAAGACCCACCTATATCCTTTCACTGTACTCCTCATCTTTACTGGCTCAGGGTGACCTCACTTCTGCCCTGAAGAGCCCAGGCCCAGAGACTTTTCCCCTGTTCAGGGAGCCCAGAATGCTCTGGGGTTCAATCCTTCATTCCTGAGGCTCAAAGCTCTGACCCCAGGGCAGATTTAGGGATCCTGGGATGGGTCACTCTCTGAGCTGTTCTCAGTCACTGACACCCTCAGAGTAGGCAAGTTTTGACATCAGCATATCAGAATAACTGAGGCTATGGAAGGTTCTAGAAATCCTGAAGAACAATCACGGCTGCCAGGGCACTGATACTTCCTCTACACATTTGCCACATGGCCACCTTGTCCCTAACGCCACATTAGGAGCTTCCCTCCAGGTTGGCTGAAAATGTCATCATGGTGGAAACTCAGCAGTTCTTGAGACTCCCTGGAGCTGTGCTTCTCAGAGGTACGGACCTCCCCCTCCACCCCAGGAAGGTTCAGAGTGATGGGTGGAGCAGAAGAGAGGTCTTGAAGCACTGAATCATCCACTTTCAGTGTTTCATAAGTCAAAACAACCTTATAAAATTCAAACAAGCATGGGAGTGTTACAATGGGACTACAAGATTTACATGGATTGGTAAAGTATGACAACTGAGTACAACTTCTTGTTCACTGAGGGCCATTTCAGGCAGTGTCCAGGCTCACAGGACACATACTCACTTTTCTCTGTCTTTGAGTGCCATGGTACCGAATATCTATGAGGTGCTGGTCCATCCTAGAGACCTGCAGCGGCTCCCGGCACAAGAGCTGGAAAGGAGGTCACCCCTCAGAACCAAGGTCCGGAAAACCATCCCCCTCTGCAGCTTTCCCTGGGGGCTTCTAGAAGGAACCTGGCGCTCACCCTGTGGAGGAACTCCAGAGCCAGGCGCAAGTTCTCTAGTGCTTTGCCATGCCGAGATCTGCAGGGCAGCGTTCTCCGTGAGAGCCCCTGCTCCCAAAAAACTTACATCCTATGGTGAGTTAGGACACTCTTACCTTGTTAACATTTTTCTCTAAGTGCCAAATGAATGGTACGAATATTAAAAGTTATGAGCTTGGCTGAGGCAGAGTTGGCTGCAGGCTTGATTGGGATGAAAAGCGTTGGTGGGAGAGACGGGGTATGAGCTGGTCTGCGAAAGACGGGGGCTCCAGGTGGGCAAGAGGAGGGGAAAGGCTATGAGGAAAGGACTGGAGTGGAAATTCTCATGCCCGCTTATGGCACATCTATGGACAGACTGGGCCAAAAAACTGGAAATGGTGGAAAGACCACGGAGGTCGGGAATAGCAGCCCGGGGGGTGGGGTCTTGTCTTTGTTCTTTTTTACAAGCAGAAGCTGGAGGGCCAGCTAATGGGTCTTTGTCTTGGGTGAACCGTTAGGTGAATCATTATTTCCCCCACTTGGCTGTGCTTCAGAGGCCCCCCCCCTTCCCCTAATCCCTGCTAGGGGCTTGTTAAAAATAGTTCTTTTTAAAAAGTTTTCCCCACCATACTCAGGATCCATCCCTAGAGATTGTGATTCAATCGATCTGGGATGGGGTCCGAAATCCATATCCTTCACAAACAAACCTCCCCAGAGACCCTGATGGAGCTGAACTGAGAATCTGCTAGGATAGCTTATTTCTACCTAGAAATGAACTCTGGCATATAGCAAAAGTTGAATTTTTAAAAAATCATATTGCTGAAAACTAGCTCTTATTTCTGATCATTTTATTTCTGTCACCGGTGCATGATCCGTCCGTTCAGACTCATTCCTTTGGCATGTCCTGGAATTTTGTTCACATAAGCTACACATGAAGTTGGTTACCACCTCTTATGCATATTCCTTACAGCTCTCAGATCTGTTCCTTTCTGTTCCCACTCCTACTATATGTGGTCAGACTCTTTCTCACCTCACGCTTGGACTGTTTCAGTAGTAAGCAGTCTCTTCGGTCATCTCCTAACCCTCCCATACCTCACCTTCAGGTAAATGTCCCTGTCAGCATCAATCCCTGAGCACTTGGGACATCAGAAAACAGCTGGACCAACATCAGTGGGGGGAAAAAAAATCAGGTGCTGCAAACAGACCTCTGGAAACAATTTGAGTCGAGTTTGGCCCCCCCATCATTCCTGGGGAGATGCCACTTTTATATACAAAGAAGAATGCATCCGGGGTGACCCGCTTGCCGCAGGTTCAGCCCAGACTGACGAAGAGGAAGCAAAGCACATGTGAAGATCCTGGGCTTCTGGACCCCAAGCTGGACAGAAATCTGGAGCACGTGGAGCGCAGGTTCCTCTTGAGGAAGGAGCTCCACTTAGAGGAAATACTGAAGGGAAATGCATCCTTGTGACCACGTGGGGGCCCCCTTCAAAGGCTCCTTCCATCCGCCGGCTCCCGTGCGCCTCTTTAGTAGGAGTTTCTTCAATTTACTTTTTTTCTCTCCTTCTTGTTTAAAAATACTATCCTTGTTATTACAAAATATTACAAAATTTTACATTTTGAAAAAGTGCAAAAATGTGTAAAAATGGCTTGTGGTCTCACTGTTAAACTCCTTAGACTATATGCTTCCAAACTTGTCATTTTATGTATATACATATATACATGCATATATGTGTATATATATATGCATGTATATATATACATACGTATGTATACATATATATGCACATACACAAACACACATATATGTATATATCTGTGTGTGTGTATATATATATATGTAATATTCATTTTTAAAATAAAAATGGGATCACTCTGGATAGGCGTCTCAAAATAGCATGAACATCTTCCCATACCAAATTCTTCACCAAAATCATTTTAAATGATGGTATTGTGTCCCACTGTCTATGCCATTAAAAATATTGTTATAATTAATGAACACGTTATAGGAAGTTCTGAGTGGCTGCCTCCCAGGATTCACCGAACCACATTCCTACTGTTGGGAGAATTTTTTCCATTTCATACCAAAGGTAGACTTGAGCTACAGCAGCCAAATAAGTGACTACACAGTGAGAAGCCCACATCACCTGGCAGGACCTAAAGCGGCAGGCGCGACGAGGCGGGTGCCTGGGGGAGACCGCGGGGGGAGCAGCCGCCATCGCCGCGGCCACCGGGGGTGGCCCGGCTGGTCCTCGGGGTGCCGGGGGGTGCCAAGCCCGAGGCGCTCGCGAGGCGCGGCCAGCAGCACGTCGGGCTCAGGTCCCGGCGGTGACTCAGCGC